CTCAGTTGGTTAAGAGCTCACTCAAGAGTGCGAGCTCTGAGCAATAGCAGTTTGAGTCCCGCCCAAGCTGAGCAGCCGCTGAGCAGCCGCTGAGCAGCCGCTGAGCTGCCAAAAGGTGGCAGGATGGCTCAGCTAAAAATAAATAAATAAATAAAAAAAAAAAAAAAGAAAGAAAACGGCTCAGAGGTTCTGTGCAGTTGGGGAAAGTTACATGTTCAGAGCAAGGGCCCATAAGAGAGTACATTTTGAAGGGTTCCAATAGAATAGAATATAAGAAGGGAGAGTATCAAATCGCAAATGAACCCCTGACCATGAATTCTGTTTTTTCGGGTATTTTTTTCTCTTGTGTATCCTTTCTTCACACTTCAGTTGCCCGAATTGTTTTATGTAGAGTGGGCTGGAGCAGTGGAGTCAGGAGCCGGGGCACAAGCCTGGGTTATAAGACTTGGTCAGTATCAAATGCCTCGCTCCCACCCCTGCCCTCCATGATGCTGACTTTTAGTGCAGCCTCGGTTACATTCCTGCTGTTTACATTTTCCTTCCCTCTGCCCCAACAATTTCAGAAGATGGAGCTTTGCATAATTTTGGATTAAAGTGGTTTCAGAAGGTTTTATTAGGGTGAGAAGGGAAACAGTGGGGAATTTGTTGAAATGGCTGTGGCTGGGTAGGTGAGAGAGCAAAAAAAAAATGCAAGTGTAAAAGTGGTCTAAATTATGTTTAAAATGTTCTTATGATTAAAATAAGGATATTTGTTGTAAACATTTGGAGTAAACAACATTTAAACATTTGGAATAAACAACATTTTCTTCAGGATAAGCAAGGAATATGGTTCTTCACTTTGGACATGTTACCTTGGAGCCACACAGCGATCCCTGGAGGGAAAGGCAAGGATAGGATGGTCTGGGCCGGGTGTGTCGTCTCTGTTTAAAGCTCGGGTAAGGCCATGCCAGACCTAGCAGTCAGAGCTCCATAAATAATTACATAGGCCGAGCCGGCCGAGTGGCGCGTTGGTTAAGAGCTGGCTTGGAACTCCAGAGGGTCCCGGTTCGGATCCCACATATGAGGGCCAGTGACACTGCCCTCTACAGCTAAGATGCTGAACAACAGCTCAACCTGGAGCTGGGCTGCCNGAGCTGTTGTTCAGCATCTTAGCTGTAGAGGGCAGTGTCACTGGCCCTCATATGTGGGATCTGAACCGGGACCCTCTGGTGTCCCAAGCCAGCTCTTAACCATCGCACCACTCGGCTGGCCCTCAGCACAATTTATTAATAATTCTTCTTTTATCACCAATTTAATGCTGTCTTTATAATATAAGCCATCTTATTTTTAATTCTTTTGCTCACTGAGTCTATATGTTGATTCTGCCAGCAGTATTTCAGTTTTAATTTTCATATCTGTATAAGTTTCAATTATCTTGGAGGACAAGTGCACCCTTATTTACCTTTTTCAAAATTTTGGCTAATCTACTCTGTTTATTATTTCAAATGAATGCAGAATTAATTACCTTTCAAAGTTCAAAATATATATATTTTTAAATTGGGGCACAGCCATGGTCATTGGTTACACATTACATTCATGATACAATGGCACAGTTGACTCTTTTAGGGAGGGCACAGCTCACAGTGGCCCATGCAGGGATCAAACTGATAACCTTGCCGTTATCAGCACCATGCTTTTGGTAGTGACTTCAGAGCTCTCAAGGTCACCAAATCCACTTATGATCATAGATAGCTAGCCCTGCTGAATAGCAGAAGTATTTTTTTAAATTATGATAATAGGAGTGACCGCTTAGCTCAGTTGGTTAGAGCATGGTGCTGATAGCACCAAGGTTGCCAGTTTGATCCCCACATGGGCCACTGTGAGCTGTGCCCTCCCTAAAAGAGTCAACTGTGCCAATGTAGCATGAAAGCAATGTGTAACCAATGACCATGGCTGTTCCCCAATGAAAAGTAATAATAATTAAAAACAAGAATTATCATACAACATAAAATTTAGCATCTTAACTATTTTTAAGTGTATATTTCAGTGAATAGCGGAAACTTTATTATGCACTTGGTGATGACCAAGACTTTACGAAGGCAGTTCAAAGTTCCTATTTTATGAAGGAGCTTTAATTGCTCCCACTGATTCCTAATCATTGGCCAGGTCCTATCAGTGTTACCTTGTTATATCTCTGTTTTCAGTCTTATTTGCCCCCCTTCGTTTATTCTTGCTCCCACTCAATATTACCATCCCCCAAGTACCAGATCCTATCATGCCACTTTTCTGTAAAAAGTTTTTGAATGGTGTCTGGTAGCCCACAAAAGAAGTACACAAACGGCGATGAGGCCTCGTGATTTTACTGCAGCCTTCCTTGTAACTCATCACGCTGTCTCTTCATAAACCCTGCCGGAGCTCAGATGACACATTGTGACACATTGAGGAAAGTGGGCTGGGTGAGGGATGGAAGCACCCAGGACTAGCTGGAGAAGGGAGTGGGAAGTGCTGTCCTGCCAGGATTACTTTAGGTTTTCTGTGCCTGTGCCTACTGTCTCTGTAGGACACAATTACAAAGTCTAAAGAAATGTAAAGTAAGTCCAATAGGGGATTCAGAAGCTCCCACTGTAAAAAAAAACAACAAAAAAAAGATTTTACAAAAAGCTTTAAAGGTTTTTCATGGTTCCTGTGAGAAGGTCAATAGTTGGTTTTAAAATGATATAAGCTAATAGTACCCACTCGTGCCTTAGGGAGCACAGTGAGGGTTCTACCATGAGAAGCTTTTTGGAGCAGGAATTTTCTTTGTCAGCAGAAGTTTTGTGCTATATTTATGACCCATAAATATAAATGTTGTTTTTTCACAGGACAAATTAGTCAAGATGTCCACGACTTCGAAGCACTTTGGGCTGAAATATAAAGAAGAACATTACATATTTAAAGAGCTTGAGAAGGTTCGCCAGGAGACTAAAAAGGATTCACTCCGATTCAAGCACAAGTTAGTTTCCAAGCCAGCTATAGATGAAGTCCCAGTCTGCGGCCTGCAGGCCCCTGGCCCGGCCTGGTATAGGGAAAAGGGGGGCGTTTCCAGCATTGGACCCCAGAAGCCATCAGAGTCCCTTTGGGCTAAAGGCCCTGCGTCCCCCTATGCAGCCCTCCTGCGGCAGGCGCCCCAGGGCGCAGCGCGCCCCCGGGGTCCGAACGAGGGGGCCGCCCCTGCAAAGACCCGGCCGTTTCGCCTCCAGGACTTCTACTTGCGGAGCTCCGCGTTCCTCCGGTACCGGCTGCAGAAGAAGCCGCCGGTCATCGCCTCTGGAGCTGGCACTTCCAGACCTGTGGTCCTGGTGCCGCCACCTGCGCCAAGGGAGAGGCCCGGGGCGCGCTGGGGCCGGAGGATTCCGCAGCTCACGGGCGCTAAGCGCGTCCTCAACCCAGCCCTGGGGTGCGGTGCGAAGCTGGAGCTGGCCCCGCCCGCTGGGGCCCACAAAGTCAAGGACAGGACGGGCAGCTCCATTTCCAGCGAGGAGGGCGATCTGGTGGCGGCCATCGGGCGGAAGAGAGTGAGGATTCGAACCCACTTGTTGCGAGAGGGTGAGGCCAGGGAGCCGCGGAAATCGGCTGGGTCATTTTCCCAAACAGACCGCGAGAGTGTCCAGCTGAGCTACCTGCGGGAGGCCGCCCCACAGGCTCCGCTGCCCATGCGAGTGATCCCGACGTCCATAGAGGAGATCATTGCCTCGCTGCAGTCCGAGGCCCAGCTGGCTTCCGACCAGACTATAAAAGAGCTCATCCAGAGCATCCTCGGCGAGAGCTACGACTTTAAGATGGAAGTAGGTGAACCAGAAGGAGAGTTTTAGTTCTCCTGGGTAAATCCAACCATAGGATACGTGCAGAAAAATATTTCAGCGCATTTGGTGTGTTTTAAGCTAGGCAAAGCACTGGGGTGTTATTCACGTTCTTTTTTGAATTTGAATTTTAGAACTTTCCATCAAGGGAGGGTATCCTCTTTTCAAAGGGAAAGCAATTGATAGGTTATTTCAAAAACTGGTTCAAAGAACATTAGTTGTAGACCTGACTGGTGACCTTTACTTTTAAAGTCTTTGTGATTATTTCGTATTTAAAAAACAGAACAGATGTTTCATATGAAAAAGTCTTTTTCTGTTACAGCTTAGCATTATAAGCAGCGAATTTACATCCTAAGAAGAATAATATATTACTATGAAAAAGTTGAATTTATAAGAGTTCTGTAATATTTTCACGGAAAACCATTCTCTTAAAATATTTTTTTAAATTTACTTTCTAAGTCTTCCCAACTATGGAGATTATAAATGTTGTTTTTTTTTAATTAGGGAATTGGGGGAGGGGATCAGTGTTGGGGGATTAGGGAGGAGGACCAGGCAAGTTGTTGATCTTCAGCCTTAGTCATGGAGGGTGCCAGTCACCATCTGGTTGCACGTTGGCAGCTGATGGCCTCTAAGCTCAAGGTGCTGTGCTACAATCTTAGTTGTGGATGGGCGTACCACCATCACATGTGGGAGTCAAACCTGGCAGCCTTGTTGTTGAGAGTGTGTGCTCTATCCACTGAGCCATCTGGGTGTCAGTTCAACTCAAGGTGCCAAGTTCAGTCTTAGTTGCAGACAGGTGTAGCCCACCATCGAACAGGCAGTCTTGTTTTAGGAGCATGTGCTCTCACCAACTGAGCCATCCTGCCAACCATTGGCAGCTCAGCAGCAGCCCAGCTTGGGCACAGCGTCACTGGCCCATGTGGGAATTGAACCGGCGGCCCTGTTGCTCAGAGCTCACGCTCTTAAGCTAAATCTTAACCAACTGAGTCACTCGGCTGGCTCTATAAATGATTCTTGTGTGCCACGTGCTATGGGACATAGTTATGTGCATTTTTGTCCCAGCAACATCATATCAGGTGGAGACTGGTAAGAGCCCCATTTTACAAAGGAGGCTTCCTCAGCAGCTATAGTAATACATGGCTGAGCTGGGAGTCTTCCCCAGGCAGGCACACTCCAGAGACTATACTGGAACCATGCCAGGACCATGCATTTATTGATTTTAATGTGTCCTTGGCAGGGAACAAAGCTAGATAGGGTCCTAGTTTAAGGTATTTTGCCCATTACATAGGCTTTGCTGTGGTAGGGACATTCAAAACAAAAATGATAAGGGAACCTGAGTCCCACACAGGAAATGGAGGGTAGGGGAGAGAAAAAGAGAAAGAGACAGCCTTTTGTGAGAATGGCAGTGAGAATGGCAGTAAGAGGGCAGAAGATTCTGTTACGGTTCTTGGCTGCAGCTCCAGACCTGCTGTTAGTACACAGGACAGTGCCGCCACATTATATCTTTAAAGGAGTTTCATTCCCACAACACACTCTTGGCTGTGATTTAAGGAATGTGGTCATAAAGCCCATTAGGGAAACAGAAACGTGTAAGAACGCGAGTCCCCAGTGTTGTCTTTGACCTAATGTTTATCAACAGAGTATGACAAATGTTTTCAGTTAAGACCCACATCGCCTCACGACTGCTGAACAAGACCAGTGTGACTACTTGGGCCATTTCAAAATGGGTATTTCTAATTCGGTTTTCTGTGGCTCTCATAGAAGAAGAAATCATGCAGGGATGCGCACTGGAGAGCCTTAACCGAGAGAACAAAGGCCTTGGCGCCTGCCCCTGTGAGAAGTAGTTCTGTGGCATACTCAACGTACTTGACATGAAGAGGGGCCTGTATTAGAAAATGGCTAGGGCCGGCCGAGTGGCTCAGTTGGTTAAGAGCTC